ATCGCTAGTAGGTTGGAGGCATCGCTCTTAGGTTGGTGGCCAGCGCTATTACCTGAAGATTTAGCTAGACTTGTCGCCGACGAGGATGGAGATGGCACCTTTGAGTCTGAAAACTTCAAGCTGAAGCACGACCGGCCTGGCCTTGCAACTTGACTAGCGACCGGCCTGGCATGGCTTGGGCAGCGTAGCCACAGACGACGTAGCTAGATCTCAAGGATCAACTCTCTCTCTCTCTCTAATGTATATACTGTATACTATACACATATACTATATACTGTATGTGTGTATATATGGTGGCCTACTAGGATCAACCTAATAGCGATGGCCTCCAACCTAGAAGCTGTCTATAGAGAGTCTTGCTGACTCTTTGCACGCGGTGGATTTCTTGGGGCAGTTTTCGACTGTGTTGAGCTTGACCTGCTAAGCTTGCAAAGACTTTGATAAGATGTTGTGTTCATCGAGGAGTATGCAGGCTGTCATGAGTCCAACTCAGGTGTCTATGGCACACAAGCGAGGGCAAGAAGGGAAGAATTGTTCACAGTTTTTCTTTACTTCAAAGGCAGGGAACGACACTTTTTTCTTTCGCGCATTGAACTGGATGCTTGTAGCGTTTCCGACTGGTCCCGAAACCGCGAGTGACCGCATGAATCCGAAAGGGATACTAAAGCTCCAGCGGTTGCAGTCTCCAGCTCTTGCTGTTTGCTTCTCAAATGGCGAGTTGTCCACCTAGCCTTTTGTAGCACCCAGACCAGTAGGGCTAAATCGCTTGAGATGAAGATGAAAGGGGAGGTGGCGCAGGCAAAACCCAAGCCTTAGTAGACATGGCCCATGGCCTTTCCTTTCTTCTTTGGTCCCTTTCCTTTCTCTTTTCCTTTTTTGTTTAAGGACTTCAGGGTTATGGACTGTTATGGGGTGGAGATGGTGGCAGGCCGAGCCGAAGCTGGATGGTAAGAATGTCGTCTTCGGACGCGTCATCGAAGGGATTGACAAGCTCTCCAAGGCACCCGACCCGTTTTTTCTGTTCAGAAAAGGAACAAACAAAGGAAACAACATCAAAAACATCCATCATTGCATCATTTATTGTGTGTTTCTATTCTGTGCATTTTTACCAGTTCCAGTTTCAATCAATGACTCTGCAAAACCTGAGGTCCCAAAGGCATTGGACTTCACTGCCCCTGGCATTGTTTCTTTCAAGAAACGTCTTGCAAAACCCCAAATTCTTTGCAAGTAGGAGTTTCCCAAAGTTCCTCTTTATGTTTCGCATTGCACAGACATTTTTTAGCATCGGATTGTATACAAGAAGGCTTTCTCGAAGGCTTCTCGAAGGCTTTTGCCAATACCAAAATTACATCCAAAGACATGTATTTATGTCTTATTGGCAGTCTGAAAGTTTTGAGCTCTGACGCCTTTCTTTTCTGTGTTCCATTTTGATGGTAGCAAGGATGCTATTAGGTGGAGGCCATCGCAAGTAGGTTGGAGGCCATCGCTACTAGGAACAAGAAGTTACTAGTAGCAAGGACACTACTAGGTGGAGGCCATCGCTATTAGGGTGGAAGCCATTCCTATTAGGTTCCTTTTGCAAACTAGAAACAAGAAGCTACGTTCGGGGCTCCTGGCATCGCTACTAGGAGCGATCGGACGCTACGTTCGGGGCTCCTGGCCTTAGAACGAACGGAGCAAGAAGCTATTAGCTTATTGTTTCTACTAGCTTCTTGTTACTACTAGTAAGGCACTTGTTACTACTAGTAAGGC